GCATACAGGGATGGTTCAACGTACGTAAATCAATCAATGTAATCTACCATATCAATAAAGCCAAAATTAAGAATCACATGATCATTTCTATAGATGCAGAAAAAGCTTTTGATAAGGTCCAACATTCATTTATGATAAGAACCTTACAGAAAATTGGAATAGATGGTCTTTACCTCAATGTAATAAAGGCCATCTTTGACAAACCAACAGCCAGTATCATACTGAATGGCCAAAAATTGAAGGCCTTTACTTTAAAATCAGGCACAAGACAAGGATGTCCCTTATCACTGCTCCTATTTAATATAGTACTGGAAATACTAGCCAGAGCAATTAGACAAGAGAGAGAAATAAAAGGGGTAAAGATAGGAAAAGAAGTTAAATTATCATTATTTGCAGATGACATGATACTCTACATAGAAGACCCCCAAAACTCCATTGAAAGACTCTTAAATATAATAAATAAATTCTGCAATGTAGCTGGATACACAATCAATACTCAAAAAATCAATAACATTCCTATACACTAACAAGAAAATCACTGACAGAGAAATAAGAGAAGCCACACCCTTCATACTAGCAAACAAAAAAATGAAATATTTAGGAATTACTCTCACAAAAGAAGTGAAAGACCTATACAGGGAAAATTATAATAAACTGAAAAAAGAAATTGAAGACCATCTCAGAAAATGGAAAGACATCTCTTGCTCATGGATAGGAAGAATAAATATTGTGAAAATGGCCATTCTCCCAAAACTCTTATACAGATTCAATGCAATCCCAATGAAAATACCATCAAAATTCCTCATAGATCTAGAGAAATCACTCCTACAATTCATCTGGAATGAGAAGAGACCTAGAATAGGAAAGACAGTTCTAAGCAGCAAAGGCAAGGTAGGAGGCATCACAATCCCTGACCTGAAGTTATACTACAAAGAAACTGTAGTAAAATCAACATGGAACTGGAATCAAAACAGAGCCGAAGATCAGTGGAATAGATTAGAAGATACAACCACAACTACAAACATACTCAACCACCTTATCTTTGATAAAGGGGCCAAACAGGTTCACTGGAAGAACGACAGTCTCTTTAATAAATGGTGTTGGAAAAACTGGCTCTCCATATGCGAAAAACTAAAACTAGACCCATGCCTATCACCATGTACTAAAATAAAATCTAAATGGATCAAAGATCTGAATAATAAAACAGAAACACTAAATCTATTGGAAGACAAATTGGGTAAAAAAAAAACTTGAAGACATAGGAGTAGGCAGAGAATTCTGAACAGGAATCAAACCGCACAGGAAATACTTCCCAGAATCATAACTGGGACCACCTCTTATTAAAAAGTTTCTGCATGTCAAAAGAAATCTCCAGCATAGTGAAAAGAAAACCCACAAACTGGGAAAAGATCTTAGTGAACTCCCCCTCAGACAAAGGACTTCGGTCTAAAACATATAAAGAATTTTTAAAAAATCAGAATCCCCAAAATTCAAAGATCCAATCCAAAAATGGGCATCTGAGATGAATATACAATTCTCAGATGAAGAAATACAAATAGCAAATACATGAAAAAAAGTTCATCATCATTACTCATTGAAGAAATGCAAATTAAAACCACACTGAGATTCCATCTTACTCCTGAAGAATGGCCAGAATCAAGAAAAGCACCAAAAACAAATGCTGGAGAGGCTGTGGGGAAAAAGGAACTCTCCTGCACTGTTGGTGGGGGTGTAGACTGGTGCAGCCACTGTGGTGGTCAGTGTGGAGATTTCTCAAAAAGCTGGGACTGGAAGTCCCATTTGTTTCAGCTATTCCACTTCTAGGTATATTCCCAGAAAAACTGAAAGCATCATACCACAGTGATATATGTACACCCATGTTTATAGTAGCACAATTTGTAATAGCCAGATCTTGGAAATAACCTAAGTGTCCATCAACTGAGGAATGGATAAAAAAGTTGTGGTATTTTTGTACAATGGAGTACTACTCAGCTATAAAGAATGATCACACTGAGATATTTATAAATAAATGGGCGCAGCTTACGACCGTATTCATAAATGAAATAAATCAAACTCACATGTATAAATACCAAATAGTTTCCCTAGTGTAAGAAATGATAAGAATACATAAAACTTTGTGGTAATCATGACTCCCCATTATATTGCTTTGAAGCCTTATAATGTTTTCATTCATTAACTGGAATGGTTTTATTCTGGGTTGTCTGATTTGTTTGTCTGTGATGGTATGAATAGTTATTTTGAAGAAAACAAGACATCATAATAGCTAGTGCTGATTTAATATCATCTTGTTTTGAAGTCCCATCAAGCTGTTGTTGTTCTGTCTCCATTGGTTTTATCATGCTGTATTTTATTGGATTTTATTATATGTGATAGTATAAACAAAATTTTTTATAGGCAGAGATAATATAGAAACCATTGTTCATTTTCTGTTAGTTGGTTCTAAATACCCTGTAATAATTTCATTCTCTTGAATGGTTTCACACTGTGTTGCTATGTTTGATGCTCTAGTATACAAAGTTATACTCAAATATTTCAAGGAAAGAGACACTATGGTAACTACTATTATGTCGAGTTATCTTGTGGTGAAACACTATGTTGCTTAAATTGTTCTGTTCTGACCTGTGTTGTTATGCTGTTATGTCCTCTTTTATCTCAATCTCCTTTTTTAAAACTTTATTTATTTTTTAAATTAAGGGAAAAAATAAATTTAAAAAATAGCAGGATATATTATAGTAATTTTTTGATTCCCTATTAACTTTATTTGAACCCCTGTATTGCTCTCATCATCTTGTTTTGACTGATTTTACTCTATTCCGTTTTGTTTGATAGTATCAAGTTTGAGGGTATAGGCAACTACTTTAAAGCAGTAAGATTCACTATGATGCCCATTCTGGTTTGACTATTATCTTCTTGTGAAGTCTTGTAATGTCTCCAATGTTTCGGTTTTATTGGTTTTGTTATTTACTGTTTTGTTCAATTTTATTATACCTGATGATATAGGCAATTCTTTTTAAGGTAGCAAGAGGCATTATGGTAACCATTGTTGATCACTTTGTATTCTGTTTTTACATCATGTACTATGTCCATCCTTTGTTTTGACTGACTCTGTTTTGTTATATTTGGTTTTATTCTCTTCTAAAAAAAAAAGTAATAAAAACTGTGGGAGTAATAAAACCCAAAATGTGTAATTGTTATTGTAAAAAAAAGAGGAAAAGAAAGTGCTCTGAAGGACACAACTGCAAATGTGCTTAGTTGTGTAAGATAGATGACCATATTACTAAGTTTTTGTTGGATCATTGAACACAAATGTTTGCAGTCTCACTGTTTGAATGTCTACTTTGTATGCTTAATTTTGTAACTTAAACAACTATTTCTAAGATGACAATATGTAATCTATTAACTAGTGATTTACTGTTTATTTTTTTGAAATTCTGTATTACTTATACACTTTTTGTTTTGTTTTTCTCTTTAAATAAAATTTAAAAAAAGAAAGAAAATAGTATGTGCATAAAGTGAGAAAACAGATAATAAAATTCTGTTATTTGAAGAATCTAACAAAAGAATGACCAGGAATTCTATGTACTATCCTCAAAATTCTCCTGTCAGTCTGAAATTGTTAAAACTGAAAATTCTTTTGTAAACAATGAGATATTACTATATATCTACTAGAATGGCTAAAATTAAATAGATATTGGCAAGTATAGACAAAGACGTGAAGTAACTGGAGCTCTCACACAGTTTTAGTTATAAAGTAGAATAGCACCATAACTTCATAAAAAGGCACAACGGTTTATTACTAAATACGCACCTACCCCATGATCCAGGTAACTTCACTTTTAGGTGATTTATCCAAGTGAAGTGGAAACGTGTCCAAAACAGATCTGGAGAAGCCAAATGTGTTCCTGCACCCTTGTGATCACAGCTGCTTGTGAGGCAGAGTGACGAAAATCTTTATAACTAGTAAAAGAAACCTCACCCAAGAATCTGTGTTACATGTTCTCTTGTATATGAAGTTCCAGAACAGGCAAAACTAATGCATTATGGATAAAAGCAAAACAATGGTTTCCTCTAAAGCGTGGGAGTCGGAGTTGTTTAGGAAGGATCGTATGAGAACTTTCCAGGGTAACAGAAATGATCTGTATTTTCACAGAAGTATGGGCTATGTGTACATGTGTTTATCAAAACAGTGACTATGACAAGATGTACACACTTCAATGTATTTATTTTAATGCAAAATTCATATCAAAAGAAAAAATGACGAAGAATGAATAAAAACATAGTATGTATGAAAAAGTAGGGTACTTACATCACATCTACAATGGACTGTGATGTGTCCACTGACACATCAGATTGATGATGAATCTCTCAGAGGGATGGATCAAAGGAGACAACGAAACGAGCACAGTGCAGCATTAATGGAGCCCAAGTGCACACTGAGAAATACAGCTTTGCTGTATGTTTGAAGATTTTCATAATACAACATTAGGAGAAAAGACACTCTGGGGTTACCTGAGGAAAACTGAATTAAAAACACAACTAGATAATTTTAGGAATTATTTTCTGTTCATTTTCTTAGGTGTGATGATGGTACTAAGGTTTTCAGAAAAAATGTGAGATGGGTGGGAAGATAGGACAACATGCTAACAGCTGCTCAGTTTAACTTTGTTTTGGATGTTTCTGTTGTTCTTTTTCTTTTTGTTTTGTTTTTGTGTGTATGTCCTTTTTGTTTTTTAAGATAGCATCTCATCTTGTAGCTCTGACTGGCCTTGAACCAGGCTATGTAGCCCAAGCTGGCCTCAAACTGGTGGAACTCCTCCTGCCTCAGTCTCCTGTGTGATGGCTACAGGCATGCACCACCATAAGCAGCTCTACAACTGCTGAATTTAGAAGGTGATTTCAAGTGTTCGATAACCTCTTCTTTCCATTGTTCTTTTTGTTTGAAGTATTTATAATAAACATCTGAAGGAAAACAAAACTACCTGAGTCTGAAGTTTCCTGGGGTCATTTGTCCCACCTTCTTGGGTACAGGATGCCACGTGAACACAGGTGGATGCTGGCTGGCTTGGTCCCATCATGTCAAACAGTGGAGAATGACAGTGAAGACCCTTTCACCAGGCAAGCAGTCAGTGACACCATTTCTAAAATGAAAGTTATATTCACATCAAATCTCCAAAATAGAGAACAGATAAAAACACAGTATCATGCTCATATAATATTCTAGAAGTAACCCACAGCAACTGCTAGCTAAAAGTGATTGCTTAGAGACAGGTATGAGTTTCTTCCACTTAGAAAAACCAACCATACCTCTGAAATTGTCATTTTCAAAAAACCAGTGAAAACACTATTCTATAATCTCATGAACCCTTTCATTCCAAATTTCAACTCTTAGTCTCTAGTAAAACATTACCCCTAAAACAGAACTTTGTTATTATAAACTAACACTTTAAATAGTACGGCAGTTTTAGGGACATACATTCTACACCTGTAAATACTAGCTAGCTCCTAGCCAAAAAGCAGTATGCTTTATTCTATCAAGTGGCCCAAAAGGACAGAACTCCGTGAGCCTGAATAAGCCTGAGGAATCAGAATTCTAACATGTAAGCCAAAATCTGCCATTAACTAGCTGAGAGGCCCTGAACATTCCCCGACCCTATACAGATATTCTAAATGAGATCATAACATTAAGAGCATTTTGTAAACTGAAAGGGACTGTGTCCTGGTCATTGCCTCTCGTTCAACACTTCAACAGCCCTGCAGGCCAGGTGCACCTCAGTGCTATCTCCTACTATTATTTACCTATTTCATTGGAATATGTTGCATCTTGCTAGTGAGATGAGGTTCCTTGAGGCTTAAGGGGCTTGTCTTGCTCTCCAGTTTTCCACAACACAGCACTCTAAGCACAGCAGATAATTTAACTCAACATTACGAATACCGTAGAGTCACCTGATTTTCTGAGAACAGACTTGTTTTAAATACACTGGAGAACTTGTTCTCTCAGAGACCTCTTACGGTAAATCAATTGGGAAATTCAAGGTTTAAAAAAATCCCCAACACAAGCCTAGGTTTGTCGACTTGATTGTTTGAAGACTTATTTATCTGTCCTAAAGATAGCTGGTCCGATATTCCTTATTTCTAAGGTTACAGAAACAAGATTCAAAAAGTAGAAGGGAGGAGCCGCATGAGTGAGCCAATCCCAGCTGGCTTGTCACCACCACAGGTCAGGGGCTGAAGCTGCAGAAAAGCTGTAGATGTGAGGCCAGAGTGTCCGCCAGGACTTTCCCCTGGCTGCTTCCACCAGCCAAAGGCCCAAAAGTCCACTCTCCAACAGGAAAAATCTACATGACCCCCAGAGTTCTTAGATATGTCAAGTAATCATACATACACACACACACATGCACACAGAGACTGGGACACCCTCCCCAACCACCCCCTGTACAAAGTCCTGGTACACTGCTCTTCTAGCAGTCCGCCGCTTTCCCACTGCTCAGGAAACCGCCCAGATGGTCACCCTACATACCCTGGAACCTCACTGCATCCTGACATCTCTGTAACTTGTGCCTTTACCCACAGTGCAGGACAAACCTACCCCAACCTGTTCCCTCCCACAGAGCCCCAGGATACCCCCAACTTGCTCCCTACACACACGACTAGAACGTCCCCCTCAGTGTGTCTTCCCCCACACAATTTTCTCTCCAATCATTCCCCCTCACTCCGATTCCCGACATTTCTCTGACCTGTCTCCTCCCACTCTGCTGTGGGTGATCTCTAAAATGACTGGGGTCTATTTCCTCTCTTGACACTGGGGGCACCGCCACAGCCATTCTTATCCCAGACACTCGGGGAATATTCTCATGGGCTGTTTGTTCTTCCGCAGACCTTGGACAGTTCCAGAACCAGGCTTCATGCCCCCGGGTGTAAGACACCCCTACAGCCTGGCCCCTTCCTATCATTCCCAGGACACTTCTATCTCCCGTCTGCTCCCCTGAAGGCTCAGCTCCCTCTGCGGACTGTCTGCTCATTGCTGTCAGGCCCGAGGCACCCACATCTGAGCTTTCTCCTGAGGACTCAGTCACCCACACTGCAGCAGGCACATGCCTTGCCGCAGGAACTCCTCCGGCTCCAATCCTTCCCAGTGGCACTGGCACCCTTGCAGTCTCAGGGAAGGCTCCACTGTGCCTCCTTCTCCACAGGCCTGAGACACCTTCAAAACCTGTCTCCCCCTCCAAGGGTCCAGGACTCCGGGCAGCAGTAGGAGCGCCAGTGCCTTGTCTCCTCCAGGTGCCTGAGCCATCCCCGGGGACACCCTCCCCCACCATCTGGGGCCCATGGACCCTAGAAGCTGTGGGCACCCCCAAGGCAACGGGAAGCCTAGCAGCCACAGGCAGCCCAGCAGTTTGCCTTCTTCCTAGTAAGTCCAGCAGACCCTCGGAGAGTGTCTCTTGCATCACAGCCTCAGAGGGCCCCACAGCCATGGACATGCCTGTAGTCTGCCTGTTCCCTGACGAGGCTGCAATGCATCCAGATCCAGTCCTCTCTCCCACGGGCTCGGGCATCCTGGCAGAGGTGGATGCCCCCATCGTTGTGGAACTCTTGTCTACCTGTCTTTCCCGGCTCACGCCTGAGCCACTTGCTGAGCCAGTTTCTTCCCACACAGGCCCAAGCACCCTAGAAGCCACATGTCGCCCACCAGCTGGGGACACCTCCCCAGTCACAGGTGTTCCTACAAGGTGTCTCCTTTCTAAAAAGCCAGTCTCTACATCCGGAGGACCAGATGCTACAGGAGCCCCTGGCACCCTGACAGCCTGTCTCCTTTCCCAGGAACCAGCATTCTCTCCCACAGACCACAGCTCTTCAGGAGCCACAGCCCCCTCTGAACCCAAGGGCACTGGGACAGTGCAACTTTTCCATGGGTTTGAAACGTTTCTACCGTTGATTTCCCGACACACAGGGCCAGACACCCACACGGCAGCAGGTACCCGGCCCAGTCTCCTTCCAGATCTGGGTACACCCAGAGCTGTGGGTACTCCTACTGGGGAATGCCTGTGCCTGGCTGTACTAGCTGTCTTGGACATCCCTGGTATCTCAGATGCTCTAAGAGTCTGCCTTCTCCCACATGGACAAGAGACAGCCCCACAGTCTGCCTCTGCATCGGGAGGCCCAGCTGCCCCTGCAGCTCCTGGCACCAGAGCCTCAGGCTCCCCACTGGCCTGCCTCCCCTCCTGCAGGCTCAGGACACTCCCACTGTGTATGTCTCCCACTGCCTCAGCCGGAGGAGTCCCCAGAACCCGTTGCCTCTCCCACAGGTCTGGGACACCACCATAGAGGGTGCCTTCACTCTGGGCTTCAGGTACCACCACAGCCTGGGACAGTCCTGGCAGCTGTGCTGTTCCCCACAGCCCTGGGACACTCTCACAGTCTGTCTCCTTCCCCAAAGTCCTAGGTACCCTCATAGCCTGTTCTATACCCCATAGGCCCTGGGGTACCTGCTGAGAACCTGCCTCCTGCACCCCAGGACCAGCTGGTTCCATTGTCTGTGCAGCTTCCCACAACCCTAGGTCACCACCAGAGCCCGACTCTACCCACATATCCTGTCCCTTTTCCCTGAGCCCTGGACCACACCCACATCTAGCTTCCTCTTTAGTAGTAACACAAGGCACCCCCACAGGCTGCCCCATACCCCACACCCCAGGGAACCCTTCAGAAATTTTATCTTCTACTTCGTGTCTCCTCTGCCACATGCCTGGGACACACACAGGCGTAGCTTCCTCCTCCACAACCCTAGGTACTACCACAGCATTGAGGTTCCCTGCAGCCTGTACATTTCCCCATAGGCCTGGGCTGCCCCCTCGGAGTGCTCCTTGTGTCAGAGCCCCAGGATCCTGCCCTGACTGTCCTCTCCCACACTGATCTGATGCAGTCCCACAGCCCGAGGTTATCTCCATAACCTCAGGCTGCCCTATGACCTGCGCTCTTTCCCAAGGACTTGGGGCAGGTGCACAGTTTAACTCCACAGCACCAGGAGCAACCACAGGGGGCACCTTCCCAGCTTGCCTACGCCCACAACCTGGCCCTGTTCCCGTGACTGTGGACTGTCCTGAGGCCTGGGGAAATGGCCTTGCCTGTCCTCTCACCCACGGTCCTGTGACACCCCCTTGGCTTGTTTCTATCCAGAAAGCCCGGCCGGGGATACCCCTTTCGACTGGCCCTTCTCCTGCAGGCACAGGATGAAGTTCCACTCTGCTCCCCACCCCACATCCTGAAGCTGCCCTCATAGCCTGCACCTTCAACCACAGTTCCAGAATGCTTCCATGCCCCATTGTCCCAGGACGACCTTTCCTTTCACAGCCCTGGGGACTGCTGCCGCCTGCCTCCTCTTCCCCGGATCTAGTGACCCACACGGACCCAGCAGGCCCCACCACCTCAGGCTCGCCCACAGCTCCGTTCACCCATACAGCCTTGGGATCCCTTGCTGCCTCAATGGAGCCTATAGTCCCAGGCGTCCCCACAGCCTCTTTCTCCCCAGCCGCATCGACCGTCTCTGCAGCCCGCATCTTCTCTCTTGATGGCTGACAATCCTGCAGCCTTTCTGCACGCTTACTGCGCGTTTTTGATATCGAAGACCTCACCCGGCGCCTCGCTCCACTGCCTCGGGATGCCCCGGCACCCCATCTCCTTCTCCACCACCACCCCGATCTGCTGGGCCCTACACAGCGACCTAGCATCTTGGCCGCTAGCTCGCCTCGGTGCTGCCTGGGTAAGGCCCCGGGACCCGTCGCCCTGTTCATAGCTCCACGACAATACCCTTCGCCAACAAAGCCCCGGGACACTTTCTGTTTTGGCATCAGGCCCCCTGGGCCGCTCCACACACACTCACACACTCGGCTCCGGCCCTCGCAGCCCTTCTCTCCTTCCCAGGCCCCCAGTCCCACCCCCGCCCAGCCTCAGGTGCCCGCCCCCCAGCCCCGGGGCCCCCCTGAAGCTAGACAGGAGAAAAGGTAATTGAGGCTATGGAGGAACACAGTCTGTCCGGTTCAACGTCTCCTGTCCACCCTGGTTTATGACACCTAACGCTGCTTTCCGTATCCCCCCAGCTCAGGCCCAAGCCCACCTGGCCTGGGGTGAGGTACAGCTACCGGGAGGCGGACGGGCGGGGCGAAGTAGGCCTCGCTTCCGGCCACTGGCCCAGTCGTCATAGCAACAGGAGCAAAGAGGTTTGGGAGCGGTTGAGGCTACCGAGCCACTTAAGGGTCTAGGTGTCGCAGAGCTGCAAGTTTTGCAGCCAGAGTCCATGAGACCGAAACTAGAACGCAGATTAGAGCTCAGAAGTTTGGTTTGGGGAGCAAAACTAGCACTGAAAGAGCTGGTATACGTGAGCAGAGAATGCGGATGAATTATGATCTGCAGCGGCTCCCGTAGCACCAGTCAGCAGAGAGGCGCAGGTTCCCAAAAGCCCCGCCCCATCGTCGCCACCGGAAACGGCCCCGCCCTCTGCCGGCGGGACCCGGAGGCGTCTCGGGCGCTGGGTGGTGCGCTGTCCCTATGGCTTCCTACGTAGAGGTGAGCGTGTCCGGCTTCGAGGAATTCAACCGCGCTGTGGCGGAGCACCCGGGCAAGACCATATTCGCCTACTTCAGCGGTTCTAAGGATGCTGGAGGAAAAAGCTGGTGTCCCGACTGTGTGCAAGGTGAGGCCAGCACTTGGACTACAACGGAGCGGGGGCGGCTAGGGCCGGAACGCGGACGGAGAGGTAGCAGAGCAGGGACGCGTGGTGCCGGAGCGCCACGGAGTTCTGGGCGCTGGTCTTCTGTGAAGTCCGTCCTGCCCGCCACCATCCGACCCAGCAGACCTCGTAACCCAGCTAAAACTTCTCACTTCCCTAAAGCTGGTTCTTACAAGATGAGTTGGTCTCCTTCTGGTCAGGAAATATTTACGCTTTCCATTGTTCTGGGAATGTACGGGGCCAGTCAGGATTTGGACTTGGTGTTTCCTTTTAAAGAAGCTTTACGACCCGAAGAGAGGACCTGACTTCTGGTAGCTTCTTGGGCTCTCAAAGTCTAACTCTAGGTTAAAGTCTGAGTACTCAGCAAGTCTTGGGGGAGAAAGTAGAGGATTGGAGAATTGATGTGTAACTACTTTATATTAATTTTTAAACAGCAGAACCAGTCGTTCGAGAGGGGCTGAAGCATGTTAGTGAAGGCTGTGTGTTTATCTACTGCCAAGTAGGAGAAAAATCAGAGTAAGTGACAATGTGTGCCATATTTTACTGACATGCACTGCTCTTGCAAACTTAGGTGGAAAAGGCCTTAGGGTCATTCGGGTTCTGTTCTAAGGTAAAGCCTGATCGTCAAAGAATTAGAACCTCTTACACTTAATTTTACAATGTGAATATTCAGCTACTTGAAGGTAATTTTAAAAATTTGGCCTCGTGTAAGTTCAAAACTTAACTGGTTTATGTTTATATCTTAGTCACAGTTTAATTAAAAATTCTTCAGAGAGTAATAAATTACAGTCCTCAAGATTTTTTAAAACAATGTTTACAGGGCCGGGGAAGCACCTGCCTGGCAAGTGCAAGGCAAGGTCATGAGTTGGATTCCCGAAAGAAAGAAAACAATGTTTACAAGACCAGTACTAAAACACTTAAGTGTATGTATATGAAGTGTATGTATATGAAGTCAATGAAATACTAAACAAATAAACCAAAAATTTTATTGATCACTTTTTCTTTTTGGAATAGTTGGAAAGATCCAAATAACGATTTCAGAAAAAAACTGAAAATCACTGCAGTACCTACACTACTGAAATACGGAACTGTGAGTATCTTTATGTGGGGCTTTCCTTCACTGTGAAACCTTTTAACTTGTCTAGAGTCCTATCTGAAAAGTATGAAGCATCACATTGCCTTCCACAGTGCATTAACAAATGTAACTTGGCTGTCCGTTGAATAGTAAAATGCAAATAAACAATGTCTTGTCTATGTTTTTAAGCCACTTAAACAACTTTACAGCCAGAAAGTTCCTTAAAGCACGTGCTTAAGTAGTTTTCTACTTAAACCATTATTCAGGGTGCACTGCCATCTCCTCTGTTTCAGCCATGCCTTGGGAATACTAAAGAGCTGAAAGAAAAGGGATGACACTGGGCTCGTTGTCTCCTGTTTTGCTTCTGGTATTTGGGGTGTGAGGCCTTTGAGCCAAGTATTTTAATGATTCATCCTGGGGCAAATAACTGTTTCATAAAACTTGTTGTAACTAGTTGATAGTTTCTAAATGGCAAACTTTCTGTGTTCTAAGGTAGTGTCATCAAAACAGAACTCACTCGCTCTGATAACACTTCATAGCAGTGGTTGACTGTTTTTTTCTTACAGCCTCAAAAACTGGTAGAATCTGAGTGTCTTCAAGAAAATCTTGTGGAAATGTTGTTTTCTGAAGATTAAGATTTGATGTTGGCAGCTGTGTCCTGATTTTCTGGTTTGCTCTAGTATAAAAGAAATTGTGTACTTGCTTTGAATTCATGATGGCAATAAATTGTGTTAAAATCAGTATGTCTAAGCAATAAAGAATGCGATTCTAAATACGAATCTTCATCTGGCTTGTATCATGGTATCTCAAAGATAAGAGTAAAATAAATTTTCAGCAGTGGCAATAATAATTCAGAGGGACAGATTGCAGGTGCCAACTAAAAGCTCCCAATAATGCTTGGATAGCCTATACCGCATCTCTGAGAGAGTAAAGATCTTTTACCTTAATTTTCCTGAATTTGCAAAGCAACTGATCCTTGTCTTTGGAATGTAGAACCACCAAGCTATGAGGGAAAATATAGCATACTTAATGTATGCTTAAACCAGGCAGATTTTACAGCTGTCTGAATGTGCTTCATTTGTGATGAGTGGGGGGGACTGGAGATAGAACCTCAACTTTGTGAGTCAGACACAATGATCCTGCCACTTACTAGATGTGTAACTATAAGCCAGTTACCTAAACTGTCTAATCCTCAGTTTTTTCCTTTACAAAGAAGGATAACTGTGAGGGAAAAAAAGAACGCATGGAAGCATTTAATGTAGCACCCACTTTTGGTACTGGCAAATAAATGTTAACTTTCCCTAATAAGCAGAAGCATTTGGCCTTATCTGTTTTAATTTAAGGTCAAAGGCAATTAGCAGTTTACCACTGAGTTCTCCATCATTAGATCAGTGACATACCAATGATCCTTTCTTAAAGCTGTTTTGCAAGGCAGGTATAACACAAGTATATCTTCTCTTGCAGAATATAAGCTTTATATACTGTAGTTCCTGCTCTGACTTACGAGATCTTTGACTCCAATCCCTTTATTCTGTAGGTAAGACATACGGACTGCTGATGTGAGAGACAGTTAAGTTCCAACAGATGGGCCTGCCCAAGGCACTGTTATGTACCAAAGACAACTAGGCTTAAGAGCTCTGTATACTTTGTTGCCCTTCCTTCTCCCATTCCCAGCAGCACCTTTAACAGCACCTAAGGAGTTCATTCTTTCCAGCTGATTGTTAAATGCTATTTAAAAATTTACAAATTCACAGGGTAATCAGAGTAGAACAATTCTGGTTTAACAATCTACTAACAATAAAAAGTTGGGTTGAAAAGCACAATATAAGTTCCAGGTGCTACCACAATAAAGGTAGGCAGAAAGAGGAGTCTTATGTCTTCGCTGTACAATGAGATGCATTATATACATGTCTTAAGACCCTGGGCTGTTTGCAGCTGTTCATTTTCCTGATGTGTTATTTTGCTGCTGCTGCTCTGCCAGGGCTTGCTGAAGACGCATCCGCTTCCGGGAATAGTGCTGCCAGTGTAGAATCTGCTGTTCATCAATGAATTTCGCACACTGGGCATTCACCAGCTCCTTTCGGAAATGTTCATATTGGAGCAGTTCTAACATATGTAAACACTGAGGGTACCTGGGTTTAAGTTTGTAAGTTAATGTTCAACATAATTTAAGTCAATATCGCTAAGTTCTAATTTGGTTACTCATTTAAAATTATATTGTAGCCAACAGTTTCTAACATTAATTCAGTACATTGAGCATAGATTTTTTTCCCCCTGCTCATGCAAAAGAGCCAGTCACCAAAAGTCATTAAACAAAATTTTCAAAAGTGGAAAGATTTAAGTTCAAAAAGAACAACTTGTTCAAAACTATGTAACAATAATTGTAAGCAGAGTCAAAATTTGGAGATAAATCATACCATTGCATTCTGGTAGTTTCTAAGGTAAGAAACATGAACACTATTTAATGTGTGCATAACTGAAAGCTATTGATTTTCCATCAAAAGAACTAAATACCATACTCCAGTTTTCCAAAGGAATTGTAGCAATCTGAAATACTCAAAAACTGAAAAAATAAGTATACCTTAAGTGGATAAAGAGGGCTACATTTTTGGCTCTCAGGAAAGGAGTTACCAATAAGGAAAGGGGGAAAGCTAGAGAGAACCCTGTGTTACTGGGCTGGAATTGAAATGCCAGTATGTACTCTTGGATTTTAATACACATAGGAGAAGACATCGATGTGTATGTATATACATATATAAACACATAGATACAGTTTCTGGTTTACAGGCTACAAAGTCTTAAAAGCAATGATACTGGGATACCAATGACCACACTTACTATTCAGTCATGGTTTTCAAATAGCATTTTACATGGTACTTTGGATGGCTAATTCCAGAGCTAGGTTTAGGAAAGCACAAGACAAACTTGGAATATTATGTAGTACTGAACATTAAAAGGGTTATGTCAAAAGTACTCGGGAACCACTTTTAATAATTTAAGCAAGAAAAAAATATAACTGCAATCCACAGAATAAAAATAATTCAAAAGTCCACACTGATGTAAATGTTTTTAATGAATAAGTAACAAGGGAATGTTCTTCCTTACAATAGTATCTCAACTAATAAATGTAAAGTGACCAAATTAGAAAACCCCCACAGGCAAATATCTTCAGTAATGCTAACAATCAGTGGGCAAAAAGTTTATGTAATATTTTAGATAGTCTCAAAGTATTTTCCTATGAGACATATACACAAGGAGACATAAAAGGCATCATATTGAACAAGTGATCAAAATTAATGTCACCAATAGTTACACAAATAGATTTTATGTTATTCCTGATAAGATACACCAAAACCACAAACCATTTTTGCATACCGGTCATCGGTTAAAAACAGACCAAGGAACACAGATCAAGACACTGAGAAGACATAAGTCAGGAATGGTGGTATGCGCCTGTAATCCTGGCACTCAAGAGGCTAAGGCAGAAGGACTGCTGCAAGTTCAAGGCCACCTTGAACTGCGTAGCAAAACCCTGTCTCAAAAAGACATAACAAAATGCAGCACATGAACCTAGACTCTCATGATTAATACATAAAGGAGACCAATATAACAACTGGTAAAACCTGAATGGGACCTGTAGGCTGCATAAGAAAACTTGATTTTGATCAATGTACCATGGATATATAAGATGTTAGTATTTAAAATATCTGTGTGAAGAACACAAGGAATTCTCTTTATTCTTTCAGCATTTTATAAATGCAGTTATTTCAAATTAAAAGGTAAAACATTAAAATTAAATCTTACAGGGAGTACAAGTCAAAACTGCAGAAGCAACATGAAATTAAAGTTTGAGAAATAGGGGGCTGGGGGTTTAGCTCAGTGGCATAAGCGCCTGCCTTGCAAGCAGGTAGTTGTGAGTTCGATCCCTGGTACGGATAAAAAGGAAAAAGACAAAAAAAATTAAAAAAAAAAAAAAAAGTTTGAGAAATAGAATAAAAGTATGACTAGAGCAGTCTTTCTTAAACTTTAATGTGCATGTGAGTCAATTCTTAAAATGAGACTCTGGTCTCTGTAAGTATAAGGTGAGGACCAAGCTCTGCATTTCTAACAAGCTTCCAAAGGATAACACTGCAAGTTTGAAGACATTAAACAGTCATCTTCAGGTTGATACTATGCTGTCCTAAGGTTTGCTATTTACACTCCGAAAATAAACAGTGGCCTGTAATTGTTGGTAACCTAACCTAGAATACTCTATTCCTACTGCCCTGACTAAATCCTTTTCGTAACTGCAACAGTAGTTTGAAAGATCCAGGCATTTAGCTCAGCATTAGAAGCACCTGCCTGGCAAATGCAAGGTCATGCGTTTGATTCCCAGTACCAGAAAAAAAAAAAAGATCTAGATTCAAGTACCGGGTAGCCTTGAAAAGGATACTTAACCTCTCTAAGTTCAGTTTCTTCATTTAAGAAACTAAAGAGAATATGAAAACCAAGAGAATGGCCTCAAAGTAGCATTTAGTCAGTAACTGGAATTTAGGCAATGAACATTTATCACATCAAACCTGAAAACAACTCAGAGTACATTAGATGACAGTATTAAGAATTATAAATATTCTAGGAAAGGCTACAATATTCAGAGATGGGCTACAAGTTAAGATGAACAAAAGGTAAAGAAACAATGGAAATGGGGAAGGTAAAGACACAATATAAGTGGGAAGTCATATGATAATACTGATGAAAATAAAAGGGTTATAGTTGGTACAAAGCTCCTGGCAAGCTAAGGGCTCCCCTATGCTCCCTAGCTCAAAAAATACAACATCAACCTAAACTGAATTATTAGCAATGTAACGTCCACATGAAGAGAAGATGCTATTTGGACCACTGTACCATGAACGTATCTGAAGGCCACATTTAATGCTTGGTTGAATGGCCCAAATGCCAACTATCCAAACGAAAATGCCTGAACTCACAGAAGTCTGGATGGCAAGAGTAAATGCAGAGTGAGAGGTGCTACTGTCGCAATAACTAGTTCTCAACTGGAAGATACAGTCTGTAAGAGACATGTACCCTCAACTCCAGCCAGTTCATGATTTCAGAAAATGAAGATATAGGGTTACCAATTTTTAATGAATAGCTGAAAGTCTGAACTGTTATACAAAGCCTTACATCTTTAAATGTAGGCAACTATTTTAAAATTTTAAAACTTTGTGTACACTGGATGAAATACCCAAGGGGTTAATCTGCTACTTTTTTTTTTTTTTTTTTTTTTGGTGGGGGTAGACAGGATTAAACCCAGGGCCTTTACACTGGGCTCCACCCCCAGCCCTTTTTTATTTTGAGATAAAATGTCACTAAATTGTCCAGGCTGACTCAAACTTGTGATCCTCCTGCGTCCACCTGGAGTGCTGGGATTATAGGCTGTGCCTCCACATCAGCTCTCTGAATGTAAGTGTGTATTTAGCTGCTACTGAAGCACAGGATGAATCCAGAAATGAAAACAGGAATAGGTTAAAGCTCTAAGAAGGTATACTTTATCACAATGTAAGAATTCCTACTGTCTGGCTAATTGTGCAGTCAACTGTCCCTGACAAAGTAATGTACTCACTGGAATCCTCCAGCTACAGTGTAGATGAGCACCTCTCAGCAACCCTGACAGAGAACCTTGCAATGGCTAAGGTTTGCCACACTTGAGTTCAAATCTTTATATGCAAAACATTGAATTCTCATTTTTAAAAAAATTTTTTATATTATTAAATCAAGAGTTGCATAAAGAGCCAGTCAGGGTACAAAAAATCCTATGGGTGGCATATATATGCTTTGTCAGTTCAGAAAAATGACTTGGATAAAGAATTAATTTGAAACATTTTCCTCTCAAAGTTTTGTCTTTGTTTTTTAAAGTTTCACTGCTGCTTCTTGATTACCTGTTTAAAACAAAGCAGAAGTCTGAATTTAAGGGTTTTTTAATCATTAATGTGGAATTAGATTATGGATATGTTTCTTGCCTTTCAGTAAGTCTTAAGTGTCTGTTGAACAACCTGAATGGTATATATGTCTGTGTATGTATTTTTGTTTTGTTTTTAAAGTCAGTGAATGGATATGAACCAAGTAGCATACGGTTCCAGGGCACATAGGAGGTCCTAAAGAAAACATAACACATCATCCAGGTGACACACAACTGTATTCCCAGTATTTGGAAGGAGAAAGCAGGAGAATTGTTGCAAATACAAGACTATCCTGTGCTAGTGAGTCAAGGCCAGCCTGGAATACATAGCAAGACTGTCTCAAAACCAAAAACCAGAAACAGAGAGAGGAAGGAAAATGCCCCTAAAATTCAAGCAAGGTTACCTCCCCCAGAAAACACCTGGTTAAGTGCCACTTTCTGAGCATTCTTTAATGGAAGGCCACTGACCAGATCTAAATAAAAAAGTAGTACGTTCTGAGATTTACATTATTGAGAGACTAAGTTGATTCTGTGTAGAACGCTGATGTGCTTTGTTTGGTCTGAGGGGGCAATGTAAGAATGAGAGCAGAAAACAGGCCATACTCAATGTTTGAAGAGTATGATGTTCAAAGCAAACTATGTTCTGAAAAAAGCAAAACTGTCTTCACCCCTCCAAATACTAAAAGAACCCACTCCCCTCCAAGGTGAAGATAAAAGTGACTTCTTCAAGTAGTAACCACTATAAGGGAAGAGATTCAAGCTACATTTTTTCCAGTGTGAAACTAAGTTGTTAACTATCAATGCTTTGGATTATAATAAAGTATACACATATTTAGGATTATAAAAAGTAAACTTACTTTAGATACTTGGCATATTCTGGTTCTTTCCAGTAAAGCAAGTACTTAAGATAATTAACAAAAGCTTTGTCTTTGAAGTAACCTCTTTGGGCAAGAACTGAAAGAAAAAAAAAACTGTAGGTCAAACTAATCCTTGTACTCCTGACATATCCCTAATATAAAGAATCAATTTCACATCCCCATGAAGCAACACACAATGAAGTCGAAACAGATGCCCTGGTTTACTCAGCTAAATCTACAGGCAAGCACAAGTATAATCCCATCCAACTGAGAATGTATAAAATAAGATATAAAAGATAATATCCACTGCATCTCTTAAGTCAGAAATCAGTAACAGCTAAGTATTCAATTAGTTGCTCAAACAACTTACAATTAAGGTAATTTGGGTTGGCTAAACACTGAACAAATTCCAACTCCAACTGAAACCGAAGTCGATTTCCAGCATCATCTAGGAAAGGACAGCAAAAATTATTCAAAATAAAGGTTACTATATTTAATACTTTGTAAAAAGGAAACATCAAGGAACCAGACTAATGCCCCGACCCATTCTTCTATGGAAACGCGTGGTGGTCTTCCTAAACTGCGTAAGACTGGGGAAACCTTCCTTAGAAATATAAGAAAAACGGAGCCGTGATTAAAAGGAATGTTAGGAGTATCTCTAAAGTTAAACACAATTAAAAAACAGGAAAACAAATGAAGAGGATATCAACGACTTGTGGGCCACTACCTAGGTATGTTAACAGTCATCACTGATGTAGGCTGCAGTAACTCAGCCTCCCTCTGCTTTAATATTTTATAACCACACTTACAGTGATTAAGCTGAGCAAAAGCTAAATGCCGAGTGGAGAGGAAAAAACTCCAGAGTGAAAAAGAAACTACATAATGTATAGAAAATCGTGACTGTGTGGTGGCTCACTTCTATAATCCCAGCTACTTTGGAGGCTGAGTAAGGAGAACCCTAAATTCGAAGCCGTAAACAACCTGGGCAACTTAAGACCCTGTCTCATAAAGGACTGGGGTGTACCTCAATGGTAGAGCGCTTGTCTAGTACTGAAAAACAAAAACCCGTTAAAAAAAAGTCGTGAGGTGCACTAATAACTGAAAGATACACAAGCTTATCTGCGATATTAAAAAACATTCAAACTCGTGAGAAGCAGAAAACCAATAGAAGGAAAGCGTTTAAGATCTAAGCAATCTAGCTTACGCCAGGGACCCCGTCGATGGGGTACGGCCCAGCTGCACACTGGAAAAAATGACGTTCGATCAAACCAAATTTTGAAAAAGGCAAAACTGTCTTCGCCTCTCCAGAAGCTGAAAGAGCCCACTCCTCCCCACCCCGGCCCCAATTCTAACCCTGCGGAACCTTAGGCCTGACCGGAGGCCCGGGGAAGCAGGAGAGTGGGTCTGAGCCGAGAATAGTACCTTCTTCAAAGACCCGAGCCTCAGCGCAGTACTCACCTGTCTCCATAGCCACAGCAGCAGCCATCACAAGCAAAGACACTACACCTCCACCACCACCACAAAACTCCCCCGAGTGGCGGGCCGGGAAGGAGATTCCGGAAATCAAGATCCCACTTCCGGTCGCGGGGCAGTGTGGGAAAGGGGGTGGTCATAACCCCGCCCCGAGGCGGTCGGCCCCGCCCACTCCTAGCCCCGCCTGGGCCAGCCTGACCCCGCCTTCGCAGGTTCCCCAACGGCGAAGGGGTGGGTCGCAACGGAGGAAGCACGTGAAGACGGGGCCCAGTGTTTTGGAGGGACAGCTTAGCCCCCACAAAACCATGGTGCTTCCACGTCACCAGAGTTTAAAACGACAGTTTGGTTTTCTGCCCTGAGCAGTGACGTTCCACGCTGCTCTAACGTTATTTTACCCTATGGCGTAATGCAGTCTTGATCGAGGGTGTGGCAGTGGGCTGTGACGCCTGCCGAGGTCCTGTTACTCTCCTTGGACCACTCACGCTAGGAGAATGGCCTCACCTCTGAAGGGAAAGCCCTCTGCTCCACGGGTGGAGACTGCCCACTGCAAAGAGACGTCAACGGTCCGTGTGGAGACATCGTCCCACCACGTGGAGACCTCATCTCGGCAGGTGAGAACATCTTCCCGGCAGGTGGAGAGCACCCAGCGCCACTGTGAAGCACCTTCCCCTTACCCCGCTGGAAAGCAGCTGCCTCGCGTCCTCGAGGTGTCCTCTCAGCACGTGGAAACCTCCTCGCAGCGCATAGAAACGTCCTCCCGCCGCATCAGGGCCACATCCCTCCAGGTGGAGACATCACGACACCTCGTGGAGAGCGCGGCCCGGCGGGACAAGCAGACTGCGCGCCAGAACGTGAAAATGACAGGATGAGATACTGGCCAAGGGCCATGGCCATTAGCCGGGACGGAAGTGCTTTTAGCTTCCAGACAGCCAGCTGCCAAGAGTACCAGTCATCTTGGATTTCCTGGAAAGAACCCATAAATCAATGTGCGAAATAGCCTAGCTGCCCTTTCTGGCTTTTATTGACCGTATTGCACATGGACCGTACTACTCTTGACCCAGTGAACTATTTTAACTGGAAGCCAGGACAATGAATCTTCAGCCCCATGATCCTGTATAAACTGAGTTATGAACAGAGGTTGAGGCTCTGAACCAGGTGAGTTTTGAATTCTTAGCCCCCAGAAGACTTCACTACTTAAAACCTAGGAAGAGAAACCAAACTGAAATTAGGACTTCTGGAGTGATTATATGCCTGCTAAAAATGTCTGAGGAGTAAATTATTAACTAGTCTTTGTTTATGTTCCAAAATAATAAAATTTGGGTTAGGTGTTCCCCCACCCCCACCCCCGTGTGTGGCTCAGGGGAGTGAACCCAAGACTTTTGCACTGATCTACATTCCTGCCACCTTTTTATTTTTTATTGTGAGACAGGATCTTGCTAAATAGCCCAGTCTGGGTTACCATCCTGCCTCACTTCGAAAAGTGCTGAAATTACGGCATGTGCCACCACACTAGGTTATTTTTTAGGTTAAGTTTTTGTATATGGTACTACTACGTATTTTTTAGCATAGGTCAAATTTTGTTAAAAACCAAAGTAAATCCACCAATGACCAAAAATACTCTTAGGAGGGAAAGTGAGAGGTCGCTGAAATCTGAACTGAGGTTGAAGAAGGCAGAGGAGAGGAGTATTTATTGGATTTACATACTCTCGCAGGCCCTATCCTGAGCCCTTGAGCTATAGCACTGAAATGAAGAGGCTCTTAGAGAAAACGTTGGGGAAGGCCTTGCCGAGTAGGTAACATTTGCTCTGAGATTTGTGTTGCTGAACTGTAAGTCACACAGAGGTCTTGAGGGAGTGTGTTCTAGGCAGAAAGAATCGCAAGTACAGAAGACGGATGGGGATGTGGTTAGGGTGTTTTAAAGAATGAGAGACAACCAGTGTGGCTGGAGTGTGGTACCTGAGAGGCACAGTATGGGAGAGAGGAGATTATAAAAGTGGGTGGGGGAAAGCTCACAGAGAATTTCGTAAGGTACAGCAAGGATCTTGAGTTTTGTTCTGCACTCAGTAGAAGCTTTGAGTTTTTAGCAAGGGAGTAACATGGTGCAATTTGCATTTTAAAAATACCCTTCTGTCTTTTGATGTAGGACAGTGGTTCTCAATTGGAGGATGGTTTTGTCCTTCAGTGATACTTGCCAATATCTAGAGACAGTTTTGTTTGAGAGAGGACACAGAAGGGGCTATGAAACCTTGTGGGTAAGAACCAGAGGTACCACTAATATCCTACAGTGCACAGATCAGGCAACCCATCTCTCTGCCAACAACAGTGAACCCCCTCGACCCAGAATGTCAATAGTACCAACACTGAAAATCCTAGCAACTTGGAAAATTACAGCATGATCCGTTAGGAAAGCATCCCCGTTATGTATGGCATGTTGTCAGGTTGCCTACCCTGACAGTCACAGGACAGGGTTAGGAGGAGGGTCTGTTTACAGCAGGACAGGAACTCCCAGAAGAAAGTGATATGTTGCACTCTGAGGAGCCCTCATCCCTGCTTTGATGTGATATTTACCCCAGGAGGACAAAAAGGTTCTTCTATCTTGGCAAGATGTAAATGACGCTGATTATATGGAAGCATTTGTGAGTTAAAACAAACACTGCTTCCAGACACTGTGCTAACTCACCATTTAATTCCCGGGGAATTAAATGGGCTCTTACTTAGAATAAGAGCTCAGGCCAGAAAAAGTGTTATAAACCCCAGAGGCTACACTTACCTCATAAAAACATTGGCTATAAATGAATAGTTGGCCTTTGAAATTTTAGTGTTTGGCCAGCTTACTAGTTCTTTTTAAGATGATATGCTGTGCATTATATACAAACTCTCTTAACTTTGTAAAAATGAAATGTAGTTACTTTAACAATGTTCCTTATTAATATCTATATTTCAAGATTTATGTATGCTTCATTAACAGATAAAATAATTCAAAGCTATTTAAATTATTTTTCATAATTTGTCATCATTCCCTTCCATTTCCAATCTCTGAAAATATTAGAAACATAGAAAGTGTGTATCTTCCAGACCTTTCCCTTTAGCTAACTGCTTGTATCCTCTTCCTTAACAGTACCTGGAAGACTGGTTTGAAACTGACACTGGAAAACCCGAACAGCTGATTTCTGCTCACTTGATTCTCCAGGAAGGACACAGGAGCCTGATAGCTGCTGCTTCTTATCCTTGTTTCATAAGAGAGTTTCTTCCTCTAGATTTCACTTGTTCATATTTCACAGCAAAAGTTCAAAAAGATACAAGCTGGAAACTTGAAGGATAAAAATTGCCAAATGTACTGTTTTGCAGATCCCATTTGTTAAAGATGCCTGCTTTTCATAATTCTTAATGTACCTTCACTTTCTGTGTGTTTTCCACACTGTGTGCCATCCTGTGCTCTTCACAGTATCCTCTCTTGGAAGCCCCAAAACAGTTGTACCTGTGACATTATCATGAAATGCTGAGCACAGTGTGTGTACCATAATGAGTGAAGAGCAGCACTGGTCCCCCATCTGAGGAAGCCTCTAATAGGTCCATCTACTAATCCACTGGATTTATTGTGCTAGTTAATTGTTGTGACTTACCATCATTTGTAGCCAGCCAGTTTAGTTTGAAAATCTAAATAAAACTAAATAAATCCTTCAAAGAGGTCAACACTTCTTATTCTCTTCTATCTATAGAGAAGCTGAGGGCAGCTTACAAAATTGATCACATGTTCACTGTCCGTCTGTTTTGTTGGAAATATTTGAAGTGAAAAAAATTGGTATTGATCAAGTACTCTTATTTCTAGACCGCAACAGCCATGGAAAAATCACTTTATAGTTTTAATGAAATTTAACATTTGGTGTCTGTTATTTCTTCAATTATTTTTTCTTTCTCCCCCTCCCCGTCGAGGTCAGTTATAGGTCTATTAGGCTACTTGAAGCTACCTCACATCTCATTGGTGCTGTTATTTTTTTTAAGTCTTTTTTTCTCAGTGTTTCACTGAGTAGTTTTTATTATTTTGTGTTCTGGTTCATTAATCATCTTTCTTTTTTTTTTCTGACTTATCATCTGTGCCATCCAGTGTGTTCTTAAATCTCATTCATTACCGTTGGTTTTTTTTTTTTTTTTTTTTTTTTTTTTTTTTTGTCTTTTTATTGGTACCGGGGATCGAACTCACAACTGCCTGCTTGCAAGGCAGGCGCTTATGCTGCTGAGCTAAACCTCCAGCCCATTCATTACCATTTTTATCTCTAGCAGTTCAGTTGGGGTCTTTTACAGTGCATTCTTTGTACCAAATACATTCCTCCCTGTGTTATTTTACATCTACTAATATGTTAAATTTTCATCCGGTTTCCAATATAATTTTAATAACTATGTTAATACCTTTGTCTAACTCTATCTGCAGTATCTCTGAAACCTTTTCTTATTGATTGATTTTTCTCCTCATCATGAGTTATGTGTTTTATACTATTTTTGTGTGATTTTCTGTTTGCCATATGAATCTTAACATATTGAGTGTGTGATATTTTTGTATTCTTATAAATACAAAATATTCTTCAGCTTCCTTCTAATAACTTTTAAGTTATCTGCAGTAACCATTAAGTTAATTGGAAATAGATTCCTTTAGATCTCAATTTTAAGATATTTGTTAGATCCAGTGTAATGTTAAAGGAAAGATTAATACTTTTCTACTACTGAAGCAAAAAAAGTGTCTCAGTCCTCTCCTTGGTGCTGCTGAATTCTGTGGTTCCTGTCTTAGCTGTTGGGAACGAGCTCTGTTCTCAGTGTATGTGAGCTTGGGGTGTGTGCCTCTTCTTCGGGTGGTCCTTTTCCTAGCTTGGTTTCCTCACACACGTGCACACACAGTGATAGTTCTCAGCTGAACACTGTCCTCAGTGGGAACCTTTACTTGTCTGTGCAATGCTCACATTCTGTGTACTTCCCTGTGCAATAATAGGGCTCTGCAAAGTTCTTGCTCCCTGCACTGCAGCCAGAAAGCTTTATTTTTCCAGAGAGTGAGCTGGCTTATCCTTGTTCCTCCAGTTATTCTAAGTAAGAGGGTGAAGCTATGCCCTTCTGTCCAGAAACAACCTCCTCCTCCACCTTCTCCCTATAATTTAATGTAAAAATTTTGGAGACTAAGTTTATAAATTAGTTTCTAGGTAACAGGATATTCAGATGGAACTGCAAACTAATTCATGGAGTTGCTTTCCTGTCCTGAAGATAGATGGTATCACTGTTTCTCAGAGATGAATACAGTGACTTCTGAGACTTCCTGCATCTTTTGAGGAAAAAGTGCTAGTACATTGTATGGGGAAAACCTCTAGGGGAGGTACGGAAGTTTAAAAATAAATACTGCTTGGCAAATAGTTTGGTGTCCCTTGGCACAAAACCCCTCTGCTCAGCTGTCGCTAAAGCCGGGTCTCAGCCTGTTTCTGCTTTGCCCACTGGCTTCACATTGAGTGCTGCCAGCAGGAGGCACTAGAGGGAGCATGCGAGTCTTGCGGGCAGGGGACAGTGCTTCCTGTCTCCTGCCACTTTGTGCTTCCCGTGAGAACTCATACCAGCAGCACTTCATCCTGGTGGCAGCAGTTTCTTCCCTTAGGGACAACTAAAGCCACTTTGCAGTTTTCTGTGTGGGGAGCCTGTTTTATTGTACCCCCTTTCTTTTTATTTATCTGCTGATGATAGGGAATCATGATCATTTTATCATTATTTCTTTAACAACCATATTGCAGCTGAGTGATGGAGCCAGTAGGATAGCATTCGCTACTCCCTTGCAAGCTTCCAAGCACAAACTGCATGTACAACACTAGATGTTCTAATCACTTAGCAAGTCTTAAAGAATAGTATTCCTTCCTCCATCACAACATGCCTTTCAGATTTCAATTGTAAACACAAATACTTTGTCCCCACCCCCTTGGCCACTACCTTCAGTTAATCTTTACACATTTGTGCTGGCATGGTGGGGCACACCTATAATCCCAGCACTCGGGAGACTGAGGCAGGAGGATTGCTGCAAGTTCAAGGCCAGTCTGGGCTACAAAGTGAGTTGAAGCCCAATCTAACTCTGTAGCAAGACCCTGTCTCAAAAAGACCAAAGGAAAAACCTTTACCCATTTGTTAATTTTACCTAGAGAGACTGTATGTGGAGGGGTTGTTTCAGCAACACCAAGAGAACTAGACCCTGTCAGAGACATAAAGTCAGTCTTCAAACAGCACCTGGCTAGCTCTGGAGCTGAGATGGATGGAAAATAGGACCACTGTGACCCAATGAAAGTCTCTGTAAGGTGACTCCCAGGCCCACTCTTCACGTTAAATATAATTATCCCTACTTTCTCCCAGTACGCACATTTCTTTCTCTGAACTCCCCAGCTGCTCTCTTGCAGTATATTAATAAACTCTTTTCTATATTCCTTGACCATTAGTAAGTTCTTTTACCACCCATGGCACCAGCTTTTTGCATACCGTGGCATTTATTCTGGTACTGGAGATTGAATACAAAGCCTCCACACTGAGCTACATCCCCATTTCATTTTTGTTTTATTTTTAAATTTTGAAACAATCCTGCTAAGTTACGCAGGTGGAGCTTGGGCTTGCAGTCCTCTTGCCTCAGCATCCCTCAGTGCTGGAATGCCCCCTTGCATCCCACTTTGTTTTTTTTTTTTTGTCTTTTTCGTTTTTATTGGTACCAAGGATCGAACTCACGACTGCCTGTTTGCAAGGCAGGCGCTTATGCCGCTGAGCTAAATCCCCAGCCCCCTGCATCCCACTTTGATCTGACTTTCAGGTCTGTGTTTCCTCCTCCAGGTTTTCAAGGTTCCATAGTCATGGTCTCTGTTCATGCCTACTTACTAGTAAGGTAGAGCATCTTTATATGTACTTATCCATGAAAGTTCCTTTTTGTGAAATGCCTATTCATGACCTTTGTTCATTTGTCTTCCTCATTTTTTATTGATTTTATGAGTCCTAAATATTCTAAACAGAATGTATTTGCATTGCGATCATATTCTCAAAGTTTGTGGCTTCTTTTTTTTTACTTTTTTTAAGTTTAAAAGTGTTCTTTGCCTCCTACCACCTTTATCTTACCTGATTTCCTCCTCTATTGTGATTTCATAAAGAAATATGTTTCTCTCAATACAGTGACCCAACAGGAGTGTATCCAATGATTTTTAAGATTTCAATCAAAACTTTTAAAGCCTGGTGAAATCAATTCAGTAGGTCACAATTCAGTAGGTCACATTTTCTTTAAAAATGAAGTAAAACAAAACATATCAGAGTACATCAAATTGTTTAAAGAAGAGGGATGGAAGGAGAAAAAAGAAATTTGAACAATTTAGCTATAAACCATTGTTAGGGTTTTCACTACAGTACAATGTTGCGTGAAGAGAACAGGCTGCCACAAGCCGGTCCAATAAGTATTTATTGACAGGAAATTTATAGAAAAAGAACAAAACTAATTGTGTTCACAGTGCAAGAAAAAGTTGTAGTAGAGGATAGTAGATTTTCTGAAAGATGTTAACAGACACTAAACGCCATTTGTTCTCTGCAAGGTTGATGTGAACTGAGTGTGTTGGTGATTGGCTTCTCAGAAAAGGTCTTAATCCCATTAAAATTCATCAGAAATTACTTAAGCATTTGATCAGATGGTTCATTTATCCCAAGAACAGGTTTGCATCTTATAGTCCCAAACATACCTGACTCAGGCAGGAATGGGATGGTCTTTTGTTCTACAGTATGAAGGCCTATTTCATGAAACTCGTGCTTCAGGACATGAACTGTGTCTTGAAAAAAAAAAAAACTTTTTTACCGTGTCACTGTTAAACAGGTTTGAAAAAGACACTATTCTAGTCTTCAGAGCGAAGATCTATTCAATGTTTTCGTTGATCAGGAATTCCAGGATCCTCTTCATCTTTGCAAGCACCTAATTCAGTCTCCTCTGAATGCCTTGACAAACTTAACCTGTGTACCTGTTAAACACAAATTAATCTTTCCATCCAAAATCTGCTCTCCGCTAAGACTTCATTTGAAGAAAATGCCAGGGCCACAATAAAATACTTGAAAATGATCAAGCTATTTTGTTCCCTGTTACTGTCAGGAAACAAACAGCATTAAGGCACTTGGCTAGTCAGTCACATGCTAATTGGGGCCCCTATACATGTTCCGCCCACCTATCCCACCTATCAGCACATATTTAACGCCCACAGATTGTTCCTGTTCCCTTTTGAAAGGGAGATATGGCTTAAGTAATTAAATTGCATATTAGTATGTTTTCATTGGTCAGATTCCTTCACCATTTCCAAAGCCACTTTATCCATTAGTTAAATGCAGCTGTTATCCTAGCCTGTGAATTATCCAATAGCCTACAAAAATAGTTCAGGCATGAAAAACTTATTAGCTTCAAATTACAAGCAGGAAACAAAATTGAAAGTAATATGTCCTAATGTGAATAAATTCTAATAAGCATCAAATGATACACATCAGAAACTCTAAAAATTAGAATGTGTAGAACCTAGAAAGTTCTCAAAATATCTCCACAAGATATCTATAACCATATCTGATTCCTGCTGAGGTTGTAGCACGCCCATCCTGAGGATTCACACACAGCCCAGCATTTGGCTAGGGATGGTCAGGACAACACATTTCTTCCCACTGACTGAG